CTTTCCAAACTTTACAAGTTGGTGACACACTTTTTTGGACATGCGTCATTTTGCAACACAGTAATTTAGTTTTGCATCATTTCACGACAGAGTAATTCAGTTTTACTAGCAAACCAGAGGTTAAACTAACCCCTTTCTAGCTCCGGGAGTAGTGTGGGGAGCGTTCGTATGAAGCACTTACACACCGCAGCCGACACAAAATGTGTCGCGACACACAGTTTGGAAAGCTCTGTTGTAGACACTTACCTTTTCAGTAGGCAAGCGCAAGCACACTGTGAGGGCTTGAACAAGCCCAATTTCCTGCTTTTAACAAGCCAGCCCCAGGCAACTGTCACCAGCTGCAAAACCACAGTCAATGACGCACCCCTCTTTTTTTGTTAGTGTTTATCTCACATTCACTTTGTCTTTCAATTGATAGCACTTTAAGAAATAGTAACAACAACAACAACAACAACAACAAACAACAACAGAACAGAAAGAAGTCTTGGACAGGATTCAGCTGCAGCAGATGATTAGGCTTCAAAAATCAATTTTTATGTTCACCAGGGCTGTAAAAAACTAGTGCTTCCCTCCACTTACCAAATCTGATTGGAATCAGAGAGGCCCTCTGCTTGTTGTACATAGTCATGGATGGTGAGGCAAATCAATGAAATTCATTCTCAGGCTTGGTACCTCATCCTTCTTTCTCTCTCCTCCCCGTGCTCCCCCTTCCCTGTATTTATTTATTTCATAAAATGTATATACCACTTGAAGGTAGAATAAACCTCAAAGTGGTTTACAAAAAAAGAGATAAAAACAACAAAATCATTACTGAAAAAATTACAACTGTAATTTAAAATGTACTCAATAATAAAACAAATTAAAACTCATACATATAAACATCTGGTACCTTTACCTTTAAGGTAAAGGTAAAGGAACCCCTGACAGTTAAGTCCAGTCATGAACGACTCTGGGGTTGCAGCACTCATCTTGCTCCGCAGACAGTTTTTCCGGGTCATGTGGCCAGCATGACTAAGCCACTTCTGGCGAAACCAGAGCACTGCACGGAAACACCGTTTACCTTCCCGCTGGAGTGGTATTAATCTACTGGCACTTTTTGGCATGTTTTTGAACTGCTAGGTTGGCAAGAGCTGGGACCGAGCAATGGGAGCTCACCCCGTTGCAGGGATTTAAAGTGCCAACCTTTTGATCGGCAAGCCCAAGGTTCAGTGGTTTAGACCACAGCACCACCCGCGCCCCCCCTTTACCTTTAGGCTTGTCTAAATAAGAAGGTTTTCAGCAGGTACAAAAAATAATACAGTGAAGGCGTCTGCCTGATATCAATGGCAGGGAGTTCCAAAATGCCAGTGCTTCCACATTAAATGGTCAAATTCTTACAGATGTGGTGCAGGGATTATGTGGCACATGTAGTAGTGCCGATCAGTTCCACTGATCAAAGTGGTCAAGTGGGCATGTGGGGTAAGGTGCTCTTGTATGTAAATTGGTCCCAAATTGTTAAGGGCTTTATATACTAATAGTAACACCTTGTATGTAGCCTAGTAGTGAATCAGCAACCAGTGCAGACCTCTGAGCACAGATGTTATATGCTGACAAGGCCTCGCTCCTGTCAGCAATCGCGCTGCAGCATTCTGCATTAATTAAAGCCACACGTAGAGCACATTTCAGTAATCCCGTATTGAAGTAACAAAAGTGCACAAACTTTTGTAGTCTATGATCCTATCTTCCTCTGCCCAGCCTACCCAGTGAGCAGGCTCCCCAAGCATTCTCTCTCCCCAGGCCAGATGGGAATGAAGCAGGTCTGGTGGGGTATGTGAGGGTTGCCATATCTTGAAGAGCAAAAAAGAGGACAGCTTGAGCAGCTGCCAGCGCAAGCCTCATTCCCCAGCTTGGGCCGGCAGCAGCCATGGCATACACGGTATAAATAATAAATTATTATTATTATTAGTGAGGTTACAAGGAACCAGACAGAGGGCCTTCTCGGTAGTGGCACCCGCCCTGTGGAATGCCCTCCCATCAGATGTGAAGGAAATAGGCAGCTATCCTATTTGTAAAAGATATCTGAAGGCAGCCCTGTTTAGGGGAGTTTTTAATATTTAACGCTGTATTGTTCTTAACACTCGACTGGGAGCCACCCAGAGTGGCTGGGGAAACTCAGTCAGATGGGCGGGGTAGAAATAATTAATAATAATAATAATAATAATAATACAGAGCAGCCCAAGCCACAGCCCCCCCAAAACAGGACATGTCCTTTAAAATGCAAAAATCCACCCAGATGGGCATGTTGGCCCCCCAAAAGAGGACATGTCTGGGTTTTCCCAGATGTATGGCAACCCTACCTATCTAAAATCCTGGGGAGCCTCTGCCAGTCAGTGTAGACAATATAGAGTTAGATGGCCCATGACTTGGTACAAGGACTTAGTCCCGTGTTGTTTCCTGAAAAAAACAGGCAACAGAAGGAGCTCTGGGCTAGTTTGCTATAGGGAGAGAGACAAAGGACCAGAAATTTTGAGAGCACCGTGGGCACCAGGGAAAAGTTCCAAGAATACAAACAATATGTGTAAGACTGGATAAAGTTCCAGGCCTGTATTTAACTGTAACCTTGACCCTAAAAAGTTGCTTGTATTTATTTTGCAGACGGCAAGAAGAATCGGCACCGCTTACACTGCACTCACCCTGGTTAATTAGCTTTGTTTGATTTTGTTTTTCTGAAGGTTCATTTAGGTTTGAATTATGTTTTAGGCAACAGCAGCACTTTCTTTAAAGAAAGGAAGGGTAAAAAGAGAGAGAGGGAGACACAGATGGTAAAAGTTCCATCAACATAGGAAGCGAGTCATAATTTATACCATAAACAATAAATAATAATACCACAATTGCTGACAGTGTAACAAGGGCTCCCGTTTTGCTTTTGCAGCGCTAATAAAAGAGAACAAACATCTCAGCTGAAATCTTTACCCTTAATTAGAGATGATACCCTTAATTTTATTCATTTATTTATTATTGTAGAAAATGCTGAAAGCACTTAAAGGGAGGCAAGGAAGCTTCGGCTTTTGAGGGAACCCCAACTCAGAGTCTTCAACACTAGCAGGAGTGGGAAACCTCAGGCCAAAGAGGACACTTCCTTATACCACCTTCATGTTCTTCCCAGGCCACAGACCCTCACACCCTCCTTGAGTGCTTTTGTTTGACTTGGCATGTGCCCTTTGTTACAGGAATTTATGAAAAGGGGGGGGGGCTGTTTGCCCCTCCACACACCCTGACTACCAAACTCAACACAATCACTCCTGAAAATGTCCCCACAAAACACCTCATCACAGTTTTTTATCTTATCTCTAGTCAAAGGGCCTCCGCTGCACATTACCAAATGCAACAATTCACTGATAAAATGTTATCTATGTACAGGGGTACCTCGGTTTACAAACTTAATCCGTTCCAGAAGTCCGTTCTTAAACCAAAGCCACACTTAAACCGAGGCGCGCTTTCCCTAATGAGGCCTCCTGCCGCTGGTGCCCTTCCCCCGTTTGGCTTCCGTTCATAGACTGAGGTAAAGTTTGCTAACCGGAACACTACTTCCAGTTTGTAGAGTTCGTATACCGAATAGTTCGTAAACAGGGCGGTTCTTAAACCGAGGTACCACTGTACTTGCTCACTGGGAAAACTTTAGAAAGTCATATAAAATTACTCCAGGGTGGATTTGTGCCATTCCACTGTTCAGGAAAGGAATGGCTACCAAGGGGGGAGTCTGGAATGTGGGCAGCCATACTCCCTGAAATGTGAGATCAGGTACACAACAGCCTCTTGCACAAGAGATAATCACTGACATCCTGGCAAATGGGTTCCAGACAGGCATCATCTCATGGACAATGGCAAACCACCCAGGAATGGATTAAGTCCTTGGTCAGGACAAAGGAGTGTGATTACCTGACTGACTGGGGAAAACCAGGAACTTGTAAATATTCCTATTGTATCACTTAGTGGGTGAATGGTGGTGGGCAAGGAAGGTTGGGGGCAAACCTGACGAACTGGTTTCTACCAGAAAACTCCCTGTTTGTGACATATGTATGATGTATCTATGGTGTTTATGGGAAAAGGGAATACTTATAAAAGAAGAACAAAGGGACCCATTCTTCCTGCTTCTTCCATGTGGTGGGTGGAAGTCCTGTTGCAACCATCTTTGAATAAAGACCAGGCCTACAGGCTGCTGTTTTGCTCCTATATTCTTGGCTGGTGTCTTCATTTGGCAATCCAAGTAAGCCCAGGAAATTTCCTTTATCACCTTGAACTGGGGTGGAGAGGTGTGTATGTTATTGTATGGAGATACTTCTGAGAGGTCTCTAATGGGGGCAGAAATCTGATTCAGTTTGATTCATTTAAAGGTGAACCTTCTGAAATAACATGCGGACCAAAACACAGCCGTCCTTCAGAATTCACACATACCCAAGTTTTGCAACCAAGTTCACCAGCTAAGTAATGTGTACAAAAGTGTAAAGCGTGCATAAAAATGCATATTGTTGCATCCCACCCCAATCTCCGAGTTGTGTGAGGTTCCAGGGGTTCCGGGTGCTTCCCCAAATTTTGGTTTCCTTGGGATAAGTGACTGTGGTGTCTTTATGATATATGGTTTATTTACACCTATATGCAACCTGAGCCTACAATTGAGGGGCTCACCCCAAGATGGTTTTGCTTCTTCTGTAACCATAGCCTGGGGTTCAAGCAGAAATAAGGCATGGCTTTGGCTCTCAGGTTTATAGCCTGCTTCTTCCTTCTCCTAGCTCACACACTTTGTGTCTTTAGCTACCAGCAAGTTGAGAAAAGGGGAAAACACCCATTTGTTTTCTGGCACAGAGCCACTTCCTTTGCTACCTTAATAACTTTAGGAGCTGTTACCAAAAAAAATACTGGCTATTTCAGCAATTGGTTCCTTGTTGGATCAAGGAATTAGAAGGGACTTAGGCATACAGCCTACCCTACTCGCAACTCACAACAATATATATGTGAAAATTACACACACACACACACACACACACACACACACACACACCTGCAAATTTTGGTTTGCAAAAGTGCATATGAAATGTGTATATTATGTATATATGTGTGTGTGTGTGTGTGTGTGTGTGTGTGTGTATTATAAATATATAAATATATTATAAATGTGTATATTATGAAATGTGCATTACAGAATTGGGAGGGTACCAAACGGACATCCAGTCCACCCCTGAAATTCAGGTATCACAGCATTAGTAGAATTTCACCCCAAAATGCTGATGGATCTCAATGAGGATTAAAAACTAAAACAAAAACCCATAGTGATGTGGAAGCATGGGGAACTGAACTGACAAATGGAAAAATGAGAAACTGAGGGAAACCAAAAGTCTTGGACTTACTGTGGAAAAGGTCAGAGTCACATCTGTCGCTCTGTGCCCTTTCTTGGCCCTGTCCACTGCTGGCACGTGGCCTCTAGACGATTTCCCAGAAAGGAAGAGTTTGGATTTGGATTTGATATCCCGCCTTTCACTCCCTTTAAGGAGTCTCAAAGCGGCTAACAATCTCCTTTCCCTTCCTCCCCCACAACAAACATTCTGTGAGGTGAGTGGGGCTGAGAGAATTCAAAGAAGTGTGACTGGCCCAAGGTCACCCAGCAGCTGCATGTGGAGGAGCGGAGACGCGAACCCAGTTCCCCAGATTACGAGACTACTGCTCTTAACCACTACACCACTACACCACAATGGCTCTCTGAGGAATGTGGCCCTCAGCCCGAAAAAGATTCCCCATCCTTGGTATGCACTAGACAGCAAGGAAAATTGCAGGTTAACTTCTCAGCTGCCACCCTCATTTTCCTCTCCCAAAGCCAGTTCACCAGGTAGGCTAGCCCAGGTGAAGGCAGAGTGACTGAGAAACAGTCTGATCAGTCTGACAGCCAGGTTTTATCTGTTTCCATCCTGGTCACCTTCTCCCGCCCTGGTTGACATGCAAGGAACTCAGCCAGTTTCTGGATAATGATATTTCTCCCTCTGCCCTGCTTTCCTCCCCTTTCTCCCATGGATACAAAAATAAATAAATAAATGAATAAAGTGTGTGAAGCCATGTGTAGCTCTGTTAACACTACATTACGAAAACCAATCCCGGGAGCCTGTTATGGCTGCACACCTCACTGGCTCCAGCACTTCTTCACGTTGATTTGCATTTGTGCCATTTTGTGTAAACAAGGCAGTTAGCAGGATATAAATGGCCCTAACCAGGGATGAAGTTTGTAACCTCTGCCCCAGGGAAAGGCACCATTTCTCCCCTGTTGCTGCAACTGCTGCTGCTGCTGCTGCAGGAAAGAGACCTTAAAGCAGCTTCTTTCGTGTTGACCCAATACCATTCTTTGCCCCCAAAAATATTCTTATTGATTTATTACACATTTATCCTACATGTCCTGCAAGGACTGTGTATAAAGTCTCCCTAATTTTATTCTCACAACAATCCTGAGGTAGTGATTATGTGCTGAGTGTAGATTTCAATCTGGGATATCTCAGTCTGTGAGCAACACTAGGATTAGACAAATTTATGGAGGAGAGTGCTATTGATGGCTGCAAGCCATGATGGTCATGCTCTGTCTCCACCAGGCAGCAATTCTTTTTCTTTTTTCTTTTTGCCAATTATGTTTATTGATTTTCCAATTTTAACCTAATTATAGAAATTATACCAATTATTTCCAAATTCTTATTTACTTCTAGTTACATTCCATTTTACAAAATTATCACTTAGTCAACAGTCGCATTGCATTCTTAATTATTTTTATTTGTGTTATTATTTAACTTTTCATACAACTTCAGGTGGGGAACAATAGCTCTTTTCTTTTCAGTCTCTGTGTGTCAAGTCTAATAAATTCAGTTGTCGATTTCATTGGCCTTGTATGTCTGTCCCTTATGTTTCTTTCTGTGACATCCTTGGGCTGCATTCTTCTCACAATGCTGTTGTCCCAGCGTGGTTCAGGGCACAACTGTGGTCTCAAGGTTAACTCCTTCTTCCTTGTCTCAGCTCCTGCCTTCCATCCCATAATAATCAGGCAATTCCAGATAAACAACAGTCCTTGCCCTTCCACTGGCTGACTGAATCAACAAGTTTCAGAGATTTCCCCCCTCAGTCTGGGAAGGAAAAGGTATTTCTCGTCAAGCAGTCACTTATAGTCAGAAACCTGCAAGAATAATAATAATAATTTGGATTTGATATCCCACATTATCACTACCCTAAGGAGTCTCAAAGCAGCTAACATTCTCCTTTCCCTTCCTCTCCCACAACAAACACTCTGTGAGGTGAGTGAGGCTGAGAGACTTCAGAGAAGTGTGACTGGCCCAAGGTCACCCAGCAGCTGCATGTGGAGGAGTGGGGAATCGAACCCGGTTCACCAGATGACGAGTCCACTGCTCTTAACCACTACACCACACAAGAGCCCTTGCACCACTTCTCACATACTATTACAAAATTCCTCTTGCCTCTGCTAGCATTTTACTTTTTGGCCAATGTCCTTCCTCTTAAAAATAGGTTATATCTCAACACCTCTTTAAATCCATAGTCTCTTCCGCCCTCCCCTTTTTTTGGAGGGGGGGGAGATAAGTTCTAGCTTTCCAAAGCCATCCATCAAAACAACAAGGCTCTCCCCCCTTCATTCCTTACAAACCACACACAGCTTTAAGCATTTTAAATCTCAAAATTACACAGTACATCGAACCATCCTCACTTGTATATCTTTAAATCTTGTATTTGGAGAGGGTTGCCAAATCATTGTATGGAACTTCCATCATATAAAATATAGCAGAGGGCTCCCCTCTCTGGAGGCAGCAGTTCTTCTGAATACCAATTGCTGGAAAACATCGGAGGGGTGTGTATGCTCTTGTACTCAAATCCTGTTTGCTGGTTTTTCAGAGGCATCTGGTAGCCACTGTGAGAACAGGATGCTGGACTAGACGGACCATTAACCTCAGCGCCATTTTTCTAGAAAAAGAAGCACCAAAACTCACTAAAGAACACCTCCCTTGTTCTCTTATATTGGCAATGGCGCCCACCTGAGAGGTGCCGGAACTGAGTTCCAGTGAGTTGTGGCTGAAGAAAAGCCCTGATTAGCCTTATCCAGCCAGGGTCTTCCTATGTGCTTATGTTCTTACCATTACACCAACCTTAGTCTGAACTAATGACCTCAGCCTCACACACACCTGCCTAGCTTCTTACTAACAACTAGTCCAGGGAGTGGCCCTGCCTGCCACCTTCCTACTTCTTAGCCTCAGTGCTGACCCTTGTAGAATTCAGCAGGGAGGAGGATGGGGACAAAACTGACTCCCTGTCATTTTCTCTGGCTCCACCTACTTTTAGTCTTCCTACCGTCCACCCAAGCAATCCCAGTGGGCACCAGCCACCACTGTTTGGTGGGGGAAGGAAGTCATTCTTTAGATGGACAGCCCCTGGATAGAATGTAGAGCAATCTTTACAGCCCTGTCACCACTACAGAAACAGGGCAGGATCCAGCACCTTGGGATGGGCAAGAGATCAGTTTTACTGATCTTCTCCTTATTTCCTGTCTTCAGTTCAGTTGTCTGTATTTTCACATCAGTTTGCATTAAAAAAAGAGGGGGGGGGAACACACCATCAATATTCACCAAAATTTTAGTGCAGATTTATCCTAACAGCCACTCAGGCTGTGCCTGGACCCTCTAAGCCACCCTACGGCTCAGATCTGTGACCCCACAGATTAGGGTGATTTATACTGTGCCACCCCCAAGTCACCCTATCCTAGATCTATCCTCGAAACTATCTGGAAGAGGGCCTTAAACCCTTAAAACCCACCATAAAAGGTGTGGCACAATACAGGATCAGCCATCCTGTTTGACAGCTGATAAGCAGAAGGATCCGATCGTGTGTGGTACTTTACTGCATGCAAGGGAAGCTGTTCAGGAAGGAGAAGCAGCCAGCCCCACACAGGATTGAAACCTCTCACTTAACAGCAGTTAAGTGCAGCCCCTCCTAGTTCCCCTAATTTCCAGGGATGTCCCTGATTTAGATAAGCCGTCCTGGTTTCTGATTTGATCCCGGAATGTCCCACTTTCCATTAGGATGTCCCTATTTAAATTGGAGAAGTGTTGGAAGGTATGGAGTTATGTGACCCCTGAGCCTTCAGAAGGCAATCCAGTATAGGGAAGTTTGTTTGTTTTTAATCTTCAATGTTTTGTTATGTTTCTATATATGTTAGAAGTTGCCCAGAGTGGCTGGGGCTACCCAGTGAGATGTGGGGAGTATAAATAGTAAAATTATCATTATGAACTGGGACATCCCTATTTTCATCAGAGAAATGTTGGAGGGCATGTAAAGTGGGAGGATCTGATCCTGTGAGCAGTGCCGGAATTAGGGTGGTGAGTGTGGTTCCCCTGCACTGGGTGCTGAGCTGAGGGGGTGCAAAATTTAAAAACTATACCAAAATGAATTATAATGAAAATAAGAAAGAAAATAAGAAATCTTCAGGGAGGGGTGCAAAATTTGAGGTGCCATATTACCAACGTCTGCCCTGCTACAAGGTGCTACTATGCAATTGGCTTTCCTGTAGGAAATCTTATTGCAAAGCACAGTCTGCACCACACAGAATCAATACTCATTCCACAGCTCCGGCAGGAAGGAGAGTCACATCGTTGAGCCCACTTTCTTCTGGGCAGATGCAGCTGCCGGTTAGTGAGGTCTCAGCCTTTTCCACAGAGTTTTCCTGCCCCGCCTCTCCTTCCTGCTGGAGGTCCTTCCCTCTGGCTGCCTTGAGGCATTCTGGACAAACCCAACCTGATTCACAATGATCTCTGGCTGTATGTACCCAGCATGAATGGGGCCTTCTGAATAGGGGCTGGCATTTGCATTTTTGCAAAGCATTTCCCCCCAGTGCAATGCATTTTTCCATATTATTTTCACAAATATTCGTTCCTATATTACACTATTATATATGCATTTCTGTACACGTTATTCTGTTGAAGAGCTGCATTGCAAAATCTGGAGGCCTGCAGCTTTTGAAAGATAGATATGTTTCAGTTTGCACATTATTTTGGAAGGTGCAAATCAGGTAGGTTCACCTTTAAATTCAAACCGAATCGAATTTCTCCCCCACTGTCACTGCTTATTATGTGCGTATATTCATTCATCTCAGTCAGTGCACATTTATGCTGGTTTGCTATATGGCACTGGGGAGGAGGGGTCATGCTATATAGCAAAGGTTTTCAACTTTTTTGGGTCCACGGCTCCCTTGACCAACTACAGTGGTAACTCTGGATGCGAACGGGATCTGTTCCAGAGCCCCTTCGCATCCTGAAGCGAACACAACCCACGTCTGCACGTGCGTGGGTTGTGATTCGCCGCTTCTGCACATGCGCCTGATGTCATTTTGAGTGTCTGCGCATGCATGAGCGATGAAACCCGGAAGTAACGCGTTCTGTTACTTCCGGGTTGCCGTGGAACGCAACCCGAAAACACTCAACCTGAAGTGTATTTAACCCAAGGTATGATTCTACACTCTTTCTGAGGCAGCCCTGTGGGGCTTAGGAGCCCAGTTATGTCCCCCCCCCCCTTGCCTGCAGAGCTGGCAGCCTCTTACCCTTTTTCAAACACCCTCCGTTGTGGAGTGTTCCCTCAGCCTCCTCTCCTCTCCCCTTGGGAGTCCTCTGAGCAGCCGCTGCCACCGCCCCTGGTCTCTGAGCTGCCCCCCCCCCGCCTCAAAGAGAGGTGCCTCCTCACAGTGCCCCACATGGGCCTGGGAAGTGCCCCCTGGCCAGCCCCAGAGGCACCATTCACCTGGGGAGCTTGTAGCCAGGGCTTCTGCAACAAACAGCTGCACAAACCTTTGGGAGGCAGAGACATGAAAGGGCATCAGAGGAGGGAGGGAAGGAACAGAGGCCAGGGCTGGCTGCTCAAGACACCCCAGGGTGCCATGGCACACTAGTTTAAAACCACTGCTGTAAGGGAAAATAATTACATGTGAAGTAGTACCTTTGGATCAGCTTAGGAGATGTGTGTGTCTCTTTCCAATAGCAAACCCCTTCCAACAGCAGAATCCACCACTGCCACCCCAAACAAGGTCACTCTTCTTCAATCTAGATCAGGGTAGCAAGGCAATGAGATTATAATGCTTGGGACTTGATCATGTCAGGCTCCTGTAGCTGTCGCTGAATTTCAATTGCCTTTCCATTTGCAAAACTACATTTTAAAAATACCTTATTAACACAGATCCTTGCTAGTTTATGGTAATTAAAAGCAATAAATATTCACATGCACAATGCTGCAGACCTCGAATAGCCAGTGGGTCAATAATGCCTTCCTGGTGAAGCTGGATACTAAATCTTTTTATTCTTGTTCAAATGGGAGTAAGAGTCCCGTCCCTCTCATTCTCTCTCTCTCTTTCCTTTGAAATTCATGAATTTTGTAACCTGGGAAATCAAGATCCCTACCCGAACCAAAATAAATGCATTAAAGATGACGTATTGTATTTACCTCATAGGGGTATGAACCATCCAAAGTTAAGCACTGCTTTCAGGAGAAGAGAGTTTTATCATGCTGTAAACAACAGGCAAGGAACACGGGTGCCAACTCCAGTTGGGGCCCCGGGCCCCCAAGCCCCATAACATTTTTGTTGTGGGTGCCCAACCTTGTCCCCCCCCACTGCCGCACACTGATGCACGCCACCCAGATTTTGCCCCTGCCACTGCTACCGCCTGGCCTTTGCCCCCTACTGCTGCCGTGTGCCACCACCCGACTGCCGCCTTATCTCTGGTGCTTAGGCATGGCAGCCACGGGGCACCTGTTGAGGGCTGCTGCAACCACAGGTGTGTTTCTGGGGTGCATCCACAGCTGCAGCACATCATAACAGAGGTCCCGTGGCAGAGGCGCAGGCCCCGGCCCATTTGCCACCATGGCACAGGAGCGCACATGTGCACCATGCCACTTGTCAATTGATGTGGTGAGAGGACGTGTGCCACATTGCAACAACATCATGCTGTGAAGTGTGGCGCATGCGCTGGGCACCCATGATGTGGGGGCCAAATTGGTGTGCCTGGGAAGTAACCTCGGGCCAAATACAGCCCCGCAGTCCTCTCCATTGAGTCATTTAGATGTCTTCCCAGGTCACACTCCTCCCAGAGGCTGCACCGACTCTGAGTGCTTTTGCCTGGCTGGAATGTGTCTTTAAACTTGGAGGAGGGAAGTGAAATGTGTCTATGTGTGCAGGAACCTCTGCATGGCTAGAATATGAACTAACGGTGATTGCAACTCAATGTAACAAAGAATTTGAGACTCCCAGAGAACAGCTTGCTTACTTACTTAATTTATTAAATTTGTATGCCACCCTTCATTAGTAGATTTCAGGGCGGTTCAAAAGATTAAAAACACAAAATACCATGTATAATAAAAAGAAGAACAGAGCAAAACAATAATCCTACACACACACATCTTGTAACTAAGCAGCCAATAGATAAATGCAACTCAGAGAGCCAGTTTCATGCAGTGGTTAGTGTCATACTAAGACCTGGGAGACCAGGGCTCAAATCTGCACTTGGCTGTGAAGTTTACAGAGTGTCCTTGGGACAGTCACTGCCTTGCAGCCTAAAAAATGGAAAAGAAAAGAAAAACATTGAAGGGAAGGCACCATTTGATACTGAAAAATCATTTTCCTCAAACTGATCCCAACTCCTAAATGCAGTTCATTAGCTTGCCTTTTAATACTGGCAACATTGAAAATAAATTAGCACACCACTGCTGTCTCCAAAAAGCACAGAGAGACAGTTTTGCGTTGAGAAAGGAGGAATGTTTTGAAAGGGCATATCCTGCTCTTCTTGTTCAGAAGCCATTGATTCCAGATTCAGGGAGAGGTTGTCTCTCTGGCAGCACAGAGACCCAGGGTGGTCTTGCAGTCCCAGCTGCACTAAGCTGTGCTCTTCATATCTGCAGTGCTGTCGGCCTTCATTAACTTGTGCTAACAGACAGAGGGGGCTGCTCTGAACCCAGATCAAACAATAGCATTTTGTTCTCATCAGCAATTGACTTCATTTGGTTGTGTAATCTAATTGGCTTGGAGTACAACAGGAGAGTGTAGACTGAGGTTTCTCTCCCCCCCCTCCCGCCCACCTCCACTCCTCAACCTCATTCTCCCATTGCAATGCAAAGCAACAGCAATCAGTTTCTTTGAATTTTCAACCAGACTGAGCCCATTTTTAATAAGTACATGCGAATTTCCTCCATCTCATTCATTTGCTGTTCCTCTAATCCACTCACCTATCTCTTCCACTCTTCCTGCATTCCAGTTTCTGAAAGAGAATGTCTAAAATTAACTGTGGGACTGACCCAGTCTGCCAAAGCTTTTGAGGCAGGGGGTATTTTCAAGTTCATTTGTCTCATTTCCGCCCTCTAGTTCCCCACCCACACCTGCATATTTGATAAAATACTACAGAAGATGTAGTATTTAATGGAGAATTCTATGTATGAAAATATAATCTGCAAAGGATATGTTGGGCATGTTTAGTTTTGGAAAAAGGCAATTAAGAGTCAATAGCATAAAAGGTAAAGGTAAAGGGACCCCTGACCATTAGGTCCAGTCGTGACTGACTCTGGGGTTGAGGCGCTCATCTCGCTTTATTGGCCGGGGCAGCTGGCGTACAGCTTCTGGGTCATGAACTGCTAGGTTGGCAGGAACAGGGACCGAGCAACGGGAGCTCACCCCGTCATGGGGATTCAAACCGCCGACCTTCTGATCGGCAAGTCCTAGGCTCTGTGGTTTAACCAACAGTGCCAGATTGAGAAGGCCGGATTGAGAAGGCGATTGGACTCTAACCCGGCCCCTGGGTTAGAGTCTTCGACAATGACATGGGAAACCAGGTTTCAAATCTCCACTCAGCCATGTGACTTAAGACCACTCAGTCACCATTTTTCTGCCTAGCCTACTTCATAGGGTTAATGTGAGGATGAAATGGAGAGAAGGAGAACCATGTATGCCACCTCAAGCTCCTAGGAATAAAGGTGGTATGTAAATGTAATGTAATAAATGTAATAACTTGTCCCTGCAATGCTCCCCAACCACTCCCCTTCCCCATGCCATACCATTCACTGGCCCTGGGTGCACCCTTCTTGAGAATGTTTGCCTTGTTTGGATAGAGGCTGGAACTGTTTGTGTGTATGTGGCCTATTGTCTGGAGGTAACATTGGGATTCATTGTTCTGGCCAGTTTTGCTTCTGATCCCACCCAACACTAGCACAACCCCTGGAAGGTTACTCAGGAGGGAATGCAGATCTCAAGATGAAAAGGATTCCATGTGCTGATGCAGAGATCTGGAGAACTTGAAGTCTTGCACACTGTTTTTTGAAATTTTGGTTGGACTGGTAAAGGTGTCGCACTAGTAAGAATTTGGAAATTAATTATGCCATTGCTAGCTGGGGCTGATGGGAGCTGTAGTCCAACAATATCTGAGGGACTACAGTTTTCCCCACTCTGATTTATGGAATTTATTGGAATGAGATGTGCTAATAGTCCATAGGAGATTAGACAAATTCATGACAATAACCATTAACAGCCATTAGCCATTGTTGGTAAATACAGTCATACCTCGAGTTGCGTTTGCTTCATGTTTTTTTCCCCTGGTTATGAACATACAGGAGCAATCTGCGTGCTTCCCGCATGCGCAGGAGTGCTCTATCGCACCACACGCATGCACAGAAGTGGTGCTCTACTTAAGGACTTTTTGGGGTGCGAATGGCACCCTGGAATGGATCGCGTCTGTAAGTAGAGGTACCACTGTAAAGCCATGAGGTTCAGTGATGGCGCTCCTCTGATTACCAGATACTGGGAGTGAGGGCACATTGACAGAAGGCTGTTGATTTAATGGCCACCTTGCCGGCATCCCAGAATACTTTTGTTTGGAAAGCTGCTGCCAATCATTGTAGGCAATACTGTCCCAGATGGACCAATGGTTTAAAAGGCAGCTTCTTATGATGTGGGATGGTGAATTGGGGGAACCTATTACTGGATGTAGGGCTCAGGTGAACATTTTGAGCAGCCAAATGTCCTGATGTTTCAGTTGAGTGGGATGGCAAAACCTTCAATGAAAATTTGGAGGATGAAGCAGAGGACAACTTCGAGGAAATAACTTTAGGGTGGGGTGGATTTGATAATGTGGCTGCATGTTCTTTCTGTCCCATCCTGCCACTTTTAAACATTCACTTTCTATTTGATTGTTTTATAAAAGGTAGATAACATGGCATCCTTGCTGGACTTCAAATCCCATCAGGACAGCCATTGTTATAGACAGTGGGAGTTATAGATCAACAATATCTGCATTGGCTACACCTCTTTGAAAACAATGATTTCTTCCATGCTAAGTAAACTTTTACTTCTTCTCACCCCTTGCTCAAGCTTGTTCATCATTTCATCTTCCTTGACCCTTGAGCATTACCTCCACCTGAAACTTCCAATCTTCTTTCACCCTCACCTCCCTGTTCGGGGGGAGGGGGGAATCCACTTCTCTCTCTCTCTCCATGGAAAGGTGTCTCTGATTAAAGGAGGCTAAATAAATAAATAAATAAATCACTTCATGTTATAAACCGCGTGGCGGGGGGAGATGAAGCCGACAGCATGTTGTGGGCTCAAGAAAATTAGGATTTTTATTGGGGGGCCATACATTTATTTGGACCCATGAGCTGTCATTTCCTGGAAATCTAATTTCTCAGCCCCTCGGTGCCTGGACTGGCCAATTGGCAATTGCTGAGTGACTTGCTGACTTTAATTAATCTTAAGTGGAAAGAAACCTACAGTTCTTTTCTTCTGGACAGCTGGTGATTGTGTGTGCAAGGGTGTTTTGTGGATGAGAAATGAAAATTATAATTAAAAGAACTCAAATTAATTTCAGAGAGTACCGCTACAGTGCTCTGAGTCTGCAGGGGGAAACTTATAACTTTGACATAAAGCTGAAGTAGGTTGGGGAACCTGCAGCCCTTCAGGTGCTAGTGGACTCCAGATCCCATCAGCCCTATCTAGTCAGGGAATGATGAGTGGTGTAGTGCAACAGCAGCTTGAGGGCCACAGGTTCCTCCTCCCTTCTTTAGATCTTGGAATACCAAATTATCTGGTCTTGTTTCCAAAATGGAACTTGTGCTTCAATAATCCTTTGGGTTCCTCTCCCTCAACCACCATTTCAGGTTTGGCACTGGGGTCAAAGTAACTAGGCACCTGCTGAGGCCAACAACCCACTATAAGGGGGCACTTTCAACATGATAAACTTTCTGGTCCTGTTGCTGCTGCAGCTTGGCATGTGTCTGTTTATTCATTTGCTCTCTGCAAGCACACAGTGAGTGGAGAGAAAAGGAGCACTGACCTCCATGTATCTCTCTCTTTCTCTGGGAGATGCACTGATAGGGTGTCAGGGACTGACTGGACAATGAGGAGTGGTGGGAGGCTGCAGCTGGAGACCCCATAGAGAAGCCTTAAAAGAGAAAGGCTCCTAGCTGGGGAAGTGGTGGTGGGACAATGAAGACAAACCAGAGGAGAAATAGGGGGTGCTGAACAAGCAACAGGCTTGAGTAAGAGAGAGATGGAAAACACTGCAGACATAGAAGAGGCAGCTGAGAAGGAGATGGAGCTGAAACTCTGACAGATTCACAGGAGCCAGCAGATCCTACTGTGTTTAGCTCTCCTTCCCCTTGTCTCCAAAGGAATTAGAGGCAGGGGTGCCAACTTCAATAAAATATTGGGGGTGCCGGGTAAGCCCCACCCCACATAATTGTTTACATGACACAGTGCATGCACACCATTTGAATGACAATGCCCATCAACTTTAGGGTGGCCCAGCACCCTCAAATATTTTATTGAGGGGCCCTAAATCCTCTCAGCCCCTAGGAGTTGGCTTCTATGCTCAGAGAGTTTTGCATGTTACAGAGCAGAGCACTTGGTGGGTTCCTCCCCAGCGAAGTTTAAGACTTCTGGGAAGACAGCAGGATGGGGAGGAGGCTTAGGAAAAAGTGGGAGACCTAGATCACCAGCTCTGGCAATGTCTTTACCAGGGCCAGTCATACCATAGGTTTCCCTGTGTGTCTTCTGTTGCCTTGAATAAAGAATTTGTCTCTGAGTTTCCATGCTGACCTACAGCTGAACCAGCCGTGACATAGGGCCAAGCAATGAACAGCAGTAATGAAGTATAATAGAAGGAAAGAAGAAAAGAATTGTAGAGTTGCTCTACAAACTACGAAGGGGAGAGGGTGGTGGGCTTATATCAGGAGGAAAACAAAGAGAACCTGTGTGGTGTAGAAGTTAGGGTATCAGACTAGAACCCAGGAGACCAGGGTTCAAACCCCCCACTTGGCCATGAGTGACCATGTGCCAGCAGGGCCAGCTCATGGCATTTTGGCACCTGAGGCAAATGACAAAAGGATTTTCTCCTCTCAGCCAGGGAAGGAACAATACATGAAGATCTACATCAGGAACAAAGTGAGGAATAAAGATTTACAGTGGGATCTGCTGCCCCTGTGAGTTCTGCCACCTGAAGTGGTGGAATGTGTACCAGTCAGCAGCTCTCAGCCGAACAGGTGAAACCCTAGTGAGTCATTCCCAGTGAGGGTAGACTAGTAGCAGTGAACCTTTTGACCTCCAGATGTCATTGAACTACATCATTTTCTTCTATCAAGCAATTTGGAGGGCAATAGCTTTCCCAGTAATAGGGCGGACATTACCGGGCTAGAGAGTCAAATAGCCTCATCTAGCATAAGGCAGGTTCATATGTAATATGTGGAAGGGTTAGTAAAGCCTTTCTCAATCTTGGGTCCCTGGATGTTGTTGGACAACTATTCCCATCCCAGTAGTCCTGCTAGCTAGGGATGATGGTAATGTCTGGGGAGCCAAGGTTGAGATAGGCTGGGTTAGAGTGCTGAACCACCAACTTTCAGCCTAACATTTCTAATGAATGACTGGAGGAGGTGCAATCATGGAGGTATTTAGTGCTGGCTGGTAGGTCGCTGTTGCTTCAGGGGAGGGAGAAAGAGAGGGGCAAGGTGCAGGAAGATTGGTGTGTTGCAAATGCATTTGCAGGAGGACTGGAGTGGCAGTTGGGGTGCAAATACATCAGCAGAGCCTGACCAGTTCTGCTGTCAATACATTTGCACTGCACCAGCCTCCCTGCACCTTGTCTCTCTCCTTCTGCCTCCTGGCAATAATGACTCACCTGCTGAGAAGCTAGCATACTGGCTATGCGCAACCTGGAAAGCTTATTGTCATTGTTTGATTACTAATTATGAACAGAAACATTTCCTATTTTAACAGCTAGACCTATCACTTTCTGTTGGGACATATGAGGAAGAGAATTGTAGCAGTGGAGAAGGGATGAAGTGCATGGCAGAATCTGCCAGGGTAGCTGGCAGACCCTCCTTGCTTTGCCATGTGAATTAGATGACAATGAGGCTTTCAAGTTTGTTATGTGACAGATTAGCATGGAGGAAAGCGGAGGATGAGGAAACTTTACCAAGCAGAGGCTGGTTACATCTCTTTTTTAATTGTGTTCCTCCTTCATGCTAGCAGTGTAAGCAGTAGCACTTTGTAACAGTGTTTGCATTTCTAATTAACAGCCAAGGCTGCATTTCACCCGACCAGAAATATGTTGATGAAGCTCACCGTGTTATGCACATTGAACCTATGCAGTTGGAAGTAAGCACCACTGAGTCTAATGCAGTACAGACCTAAGAAAGCATGCACAAGACTGCAGTTTGTACTGATCCTAAGAAGTTGTGCAATATGCTTCTGGTCCTTGATGTGTGTGCTGTGTAATAATGGATCAACACAGCTGCCTGCATTTTGGACTCTCTGTTGGGGGCATGGTTATAGGGGTTGACATGATGAGCGCCTACTGTTCAAAATGTACCAGTACAGCACTGTGGTGCCCTGCTAACCATATGATTTTACTCAAGAGTACAGTAGCATTTCTGCTTTTCCTTGTTGCCTTCAACCTGAGAATTATTTTCAGCTTCTCTGCTGGGGACTGTGAAAATGGGAAAAGCAGGGTGCTTGCAGAAGGTGTGCGTGCTCTAAACTGAAGTGTCCTGTTTTGCCCAGAGTCCCTGCTGAGTGTACTATAAAGTCCCCTGCAGTTTCGACAATGGAAGTTCTATTTGCTGGCTTCTACTCACTGTGGTTGTGTGTTAACAGTTCTTTCCCAAGAAGTGCTTTGCTTCATTTTTATCATCATATGAAAATGCTAGGAAACAAACTAAATATATATACCCTACCCCTCTTGAATCTTAAAAAAATAAGGGGGGGGATCTCTAGCAAACCATATTTTAAAATGTGGCAGATGGGAACTCAGCCAGATATGTGCTATGCTGTGTCTCAGTGGCCAATCAGAAGCTGATTTTGAGACATGCCCTCCAGAAGCCTAAGATATTGGTCATCAAAATAGTGCGGTCAAAAATTATTTTATTTGGTGAGATAGGATGTAAAACCAGTTGGAGATTTGGCTCAGAGTAAGTCTTGCAAGGTCTCCCTCTGAGAACCATCTTCATTGAGAACCATCTTCCTTGCTGGCTTTCAGTTCTAATCTCATTTGCCTCTGCAATACCTGTGGTCTACTAGTTCTTCCCATTAAAAGAAAGAAAGAAATACAGTCTTAAACCCCTACTTATAGAAAATGAGCATGTTAGGTTAGTCCCTTTATTTCTGATATTATTGGGGGAGGGGTTCTGTGCAGGGAATACTGGTAGTTTTCTGCATGGTGGAAAAGTCATTCTGGTGCACCAACTCTCTGTCTATTGCACACAGTTAATGGAAATTGTTGGGTGGAGTGTCAAGACAAAAGGAAACCAATATGGTGCCCTTCAGTTTTTAGACTACCAGTCTCATCCCTGACCAATGGCCATGCTGTTTGTGGCTGAGTTATTCACAACATTCAGAAGAGGACACATTGGTGACCTCTGGTCTAGACCAGTGGTTCCCAATTGGCTAATTACTGAGGACCCCCTATTTTCCAAAAGTCAAGCCACGGACCCCCTATTTTTGAAAGTTTTGATAGCTCTATTGTAGTTACCTCTGCAAAGCATTTTTTTGAACAAAATGTGGGGCAGCCCCTAATAAGCAAAGGATTTTAAGTATAATAAAAAACAAACTGGGCAGAACGATATCTGGTTTTCAACATCATTATATACCAGCAGCTAAACATTGTGATATTATTATCATTATCATTATTACTATTATTATTATTATTTAAACCTCTTTATTGAAAGTTCAAAAAGTAAATAATTATATGTGCACTAAACATGGTGAGACATAAATAAAAGAGAGAGAAAGAGAAAGGTAACCCGTGTGGAAGGGGAAATAAAGGGAAAGGGGAAAAACCCAATACTGTATACAATCATAGCTTGGGTTGAAGTAGCTTCGTGTTGAGCATTTTTGGGTTGCACTCTGTGGCGATCCGGAAGTAACAGAACGTGTTACTTCCAGGTTTTGCCGCTTGTGCATGCACAGACACTCAAAATGATGTCACGCGCATGCGTGGCAACGGCGAATTGCGACCCGTGCATGTGCAGATGCGGGTTGCGTTCGCTTCAGGATGCGAACGGGGCTCCGGAACGGATCCCGTTCGCATCCAGAGGTACCACTGTACTATATACTTAGGGTTATACTTTTTCTGATATATCACGATGTTTGAAATTGGAGATCAGGCATGGGGATGAAGGAAGGAGCAGTCACGGAGACCTGGTGGGTGGAGGGAGGAGAGGAAGCAGAGTGCGAGCAGATGAGGGCTGCATCAAGCCGCTGTCCTTCGTGCCAAGGGAAGGTAGTGGTATGGTGCTTTGAAATGAGGGTGATCAGCTGTCCTGTTCTTCATCAGCATGACGGAAGGAAGGCAGCTCCAATCAGCAGTGTTATTGGCTGAGATCATTGTGCAGTACTGGCAGTTTCTTGAAATCGGCTGCCCTGTTCTCCCTTGCATGAAGAGTGATATAGTGGTACCTCAGGTTACAAATACTTCGGGTTACAGACTCCGCTAACCCGGAAGTAGTACCTCAGATTAAGAACTTTACCTCAGGATGAGAACAGAAATTCTGCACCGGCTGCAGTGGGAGGCCCCATTAGCAAAAGTGGTACCTCAGGTTAAGAATGGTTTCAGGTGAAGAACGGACCTCCAGAACGAATTAAGTTCATAACCAGAGCTACCACTGTATATTGCCACGTATTACTGGGTCAAAATTGTTGCTGCGGTGTGATTTCAAAACTGATTTTGGCCAATATATTGAAAAATTGTACAATGCTAAAACGTACCATGAAATTTGTGATATTGGGCTTCCTGTTTCCTGTGAGCCAGGGGATGGACGCCTTTCCCAAAACCATGGAGACAGACAGACAGACAGAAATAATCAGAAAATAATGGGGAAATTGCATCTTCTGCATTCCTCTCAGGTTAGAAGAGGAACTTGGTTCTCAGCCGCAGTTTGCCTGATGGTCTGGCACATGCTTCTCCATGGAATGCGAGGGCAGGCAAAGGCACTGGGCTCATGGAGCACTCTGGCTGCTGTGATCCCCCCGCCCCCGATCCCGTTCCTGGAAGCACAGATTATCCTGCTAATTGGGTGGTTTTTTTTAATTGGAGTAAACTACAGGCACGTGCTAGAGATGATGAGAAAAGAAACTGTGAAAATGAACCCAGCTACAAGGATTTTAAAAGTTTGGATTGAGAGGGGATTTCATTCGGTGAAAGAAACGATGGGGGGGAGGGGAGCCCACGGTTTGTTTATATAAAAGTTTTTCTCCACATTTATGATATGGCAACCCTCCCCAGAAAGCAAGTTTTTTTTTTTAAAAAAAAAAATCTGTACAGGTGAGGAAGGAAGAAATTGGAAAATAAATATGAAATTTAACAAAACTGGAACTGTGTGTGAGAGAGAAAGGAACTGAGAGAGAAGTGGGGGGAATGCTATGCTTTGAAAATATGGAGCATATTTGTGGATACTTCCATTATCCTCAAAGGAATGTGTCTGAGATAAGGACAACTGGCCATAAATCAGTGGCAGAGAAGAAAGGAGTCTACGGGAATAGAAGCTTTCTGAATAACTATTTGCAGTCTGGATTCAGACCATTCTTCCTAGGCTGGAAAAATGGTGAAGATGGCTTGTTTACTGGAAGCCAAATCATGGGATGACGTGATGCAGTAACTTTTGGAAACTCTGAGATAACCGCTTCTCCCGAGGCATGGTGGCAACCATCACCAGTTGTAGGAATGAAGAATATAACACCATATATAGATGGGGAAACACCATGGGGGGGGGGGGAGTGTCACATGCAGGAAAGAATAAAGATTACAGTTCCTCGCTTTAAACTTTATAAATTACGGTACCTAATATACCAACACAAATGAAATCACAAGATTGTAGCTGTTATATAAGGGATTATTATATTGGAATGGAATGGAAATTATTAAGATTTTGGAACATAGAAAAGATGTAGAAGAATGAAATCATCAAATCTAGCAGGCAGGGAAGCCAGTTTGATTAAATTGTATAATTTGACATTGGATTAACTGGCATTAATAATTGTATTAATTAGATAAAATTGGTATTGTTATAATGAGGCCGCTATTGGAATGATATTGGAAAATCAATAAAAACATATTTTTGTTTTAAAAAATAAAATTTGTGATATTACCATGCAAAAATGACAAAAAATTAGTTGGGGAGGGCAAGGGATGGGGCCATGGATCCCCTGGGTGTGATCTGCGGATCTCCTGGAGTCCCCGGACTCCTATTTAGGAACCACTTGTCTAGACTGTAGATGCACGATGGCTAACCTGTGATCCTCAATATTTTACTGGTCTACAACTTTCATAATCTCTGACCATGATGTAGCCTGGAGTTCAATGCCACAGGTTTTCCAGCTCTTCCTTAATAGATGTGCCTCTGCCTAATCTGCCATTTTGCTTGCCTCTCCACGAGTAGATGCCAATGTTGTAATCAACATCCTTGCAGAGCTGAAGGCCTGGCCATAACATTTTTTTGCTGCCCCAGAGATACATCTATGATCTCATAGGAGAGTAGTTTTTGGTTGACCTTTAGGAGAAAGGCAGTTTGATACCTCTCCCTACCTGGTGGTCTTCAGTTTTGGAGAACCATCTGTTGAAGGTACTCTAGGTTGTATCCATCTAGGTTTGTTCACAGTAGACCCATTGAAATTAATGCACCTGTTA